TGGAAGAAACTTGTTGAAGGGTTGAAATTAAATACAGATGCTTCATTTTTACCTGGCAATGCTACGGGGGGTGCGATTTTGAGATCGAGCAATGGCTCTATGATATCTGGCATTAGATTCCCAATGATTGCGTCCTCCCCTTAGAAGTTGAGCTGCGAGCTCTCCTCTACACAATTCGGTGGGCTGTGAAGGAAGGCTTCAGCGACTTTCAGGTAGAATCCGATTCTCAGTCGGCTATCTCTTTCTTGTTGGGGATGGAGGTGCGGAGATGGAATCAGGAGATTAAAGAAACCCTACTCCTTTTAGGAAATAAGACGATAGGCTTCAGACATATCTTGCGTGAAAGTAATTGGGTAGCCCATTATCTGGCTGAAGGTGTAGCGGATCAACTAATGGTTTTCAGCAGCCCAAATGATTTGCCTTTACCTGCTAAACGGGCTTATTTTATGGACTTTTATGGACTGCCTTCTATTAGATTTAATTAGATACATTTGTTGGTTTTTTCTCTGAATTTGTATCTGTTTGACTTGTTTTTTGGGAGGTTTTGGTGTGGTCCCCCTCCTTTGTTTTTCTCCTTTGTACTTAATAAAACCCGGTAAATGTCCCCGGCATTTACCCCACTGATTTTGGTGGTTGGCCTTCCGGGGTAAAAAAAAAAGACATAATCTCGGCAGTTAAGTTTTTTTTTTTTTGCAAAGCATACTAACCTATTATACTACTCCGTATATTGTTTATGTTAAGGTCATCATCCTTGAATTGTGATGGGATTTGAACTTGTGACCTCTTCTTTGAGAGTGTCACACTAATGTCATTAACCACAAGGTACTTGGCAATCACTAGTTAAGTTAAAACACTCCATTTGATGAGCATGCACATAGCTGGGTTGAACCAATGACATGCGTTACACTTTGTATTAAGGGACAAATACACATTTGGGGGACGGATACATATTAATATATTATAATGGCTAATAATAATAATAATAATAAGGGAGAATTCCCCAAATAGGACTAAATGAAATTTTAATTGCCAAAATAGGACCATAACTTTAAAATTCCCTAAATAGTACTAGCTTTCCAACTCTACCCTTTCTTGGTTTTAATATAATTCATATTTCATTAATAATTAAAATATAAAATAATAAACATAACTTTATTTATAATAAAAATATAAAAAATAAAAAACATGAAATCAAAATTATTTAAAATTAATAAAAAAATCGTAAAAATTAAAATTTATAAAATAAAAAACTTAAAAAATAAAAATAAAATAAATAAATAACGTAAAAAAATATAAAAAAATATGTAGGCCTATGTTGCGGCCTCAACAACCTCCCCGCACCACCAGTTCTGATCGCCCGAAAAAAAGCCAACATGGGTCAGAAATGCCATCTTGATGACTGTTTTCGAAAAAAAATTGGCATTCTCAAGGGTAAAAATGTTATCTTCATGGCATTTTCAGAAAAAAAAATGGCAGTTTTTACACAAAATGGCATTTTTTAGCCGATCAAAGATAATGTTGTTGGCCAGCAGCCGAGACTATGGGAAAAGCCTCCATATTTTTTTTTAATTTTCTAAGGTGCTTTTTTTGAATTTATTATTAATTTTTGTTAAATTAATTAATTTTTTTAATTTTTATGATTTTCGTATTTTTAAAAGTATTTTAGATTTTTTTATATTTTTTACGATTTTTTGTATAAGTTTAATTATTTTTAATATTTTTAATATTTATTACGTAGTACAAATTAAAATATGATCATACTATTATGTTGTGGTAAGGATAGAATAGGAAGGTAGAGTATACTTTAGTCCTATTCGTAGAAGATAAATAACATTGTCCTATTTGTGCATTTAGGGATTAACTTAGTCCTATTTAGGGATGTTATCTAAGGTTAATTGTCAAAATAGGACTAAAAACTAATCACATTGCACAAATAAGACTAAAAAGTAAACTACGTTTTGATAGGACTAATTATGTGTGTGTTGGACAAATATACCATTGTTGCTATTGAAATGTTTTAATTCATAATAAAATTATAAAAATAATTAAAATTCGTAAAAAAACTAAAAAAATTAATTAAAATATTTACATAATAATAATTAACAAAAAAATTAAAATTTTAAAAAATGAAAATAAAAAAAAAAAACGCCTAAAAAAACGCCGTTGCCTCTACCACCCCAGCACAACCACCTCCAGTCACCAGGGAAAAAAATGTCGCATCCATTAAAAATGTCATATTTATGGCAGATTCAAATGAAAATGTTGGCATTCTCATAGAGTAATATGCCATTTTTGGCATTTTCAGGAAAAAATGACAATTTTTAGAAAAAATGGCATTTTTTCACCGGTCGGAGGTAATGATGCAGGGAGGCAGTACAGGCAGTGAGAAAGGCATCCATACTTTTTAAAATTTTGTTATGAAGTTTTACTACTTTTTATTAATTGTTTTAAAAAAATTTAAAATTAAAAATATAATTTAAAAAAAACTAAAAAAATGCTACAAAATAAAATCACATTTGCCTCTACCGCCCCAGCACCACCATCTCCAGTCACCGGGAAAAAATTCCACATGCATTAGGAATGCCATGTTTATGGCAGATTCAATGAAAATTTTGGCATTCTCAAAGAGTAATATGTCATTTTTTGGCATTTTTCAGAAAAATGGCATTTTTTACACCGGTGGGAGGTGGTGGTGCAGGGAGGCAGTACAAGTGGTGGGAAAGGTATCCATAAATTTTTATGGATATTTACTACTTTTTATTAATTTAAAAAAAAATTGATTTTATATTTTATATTAATTTTATTAATTTTTTATTATTTTTCTGCCATTTTTTATTATTTTTTACTAATTTATATGAATTAAAACATTTAGTTCTAACTTTTGACTATCTTATACTCATATTTAAAGGAATGGTAAGAATAGAATGAAAAAATAGGTATGTTGCCAATAGGACTAATATGGTCCTATTTTGGAAGAAAAACATAACAAGTCCTATTTTGGGTTTTTGTCATAATTTTAGTCCTATCTGGAGTAATTTCCGTATTATCTAATACTCCTTCCGGTCCCTATTAAAGTTTTCACTTTCCTTTTTGGGATGTCCCTTATTTAAGTTCACACTTCCATTGTAGGAAACAAAATAGTGCAAAACAGTGCCAAACAGTGCCAAACAGTGCACTCCACAGTAAAGTCAAATTTATTTTCTTAATCTGTGTGAAGTCAAACTGGGAACTTTAATAGGGATCGGAGGAAGTAATAATGATGATGATGATGATGATGATGATGATGAAGATAGTAGTTATAATAATAATAATAATACTGTAGTACAGATTTATTGAACAAATTAAAGTAATTATGGGGGTGTTTGGTTAACGGCCTATCAACCATTTTTTGGCTGATTTGACTATTTTTGGCTTTTTGACCAGATCGACCAGCTAATGAAAGTGTTTGGTTAGTTAGCTTTTTCAATTGGCTTTTTGCCCTAACAGCCAATATATGGAAACGCCAACAATTGTAGCATTTTCAATCGGTTGTTTCACAACTTTCCTATGTTGCCCATGTATCTTCTATTAGCTAGAGAGAAAATTTGTGTGAAAGAAGTCTTCTCCTACATTTTCTGCTCCTTCAAGTTTGCCTACTGATTTTTAAGAAACAAGGATGATTTAACCAGATGATAAGCATTGAAAAGAATTTGAGTCAAGTTAGTCAACCTCAAAGGCACAACCAATAAAAAAAATTGAAAATAAGTAAAGAATGAAGACCACCATGAAACCATAAGCTTCCTTTCTATAGAAGATTCAAGATTGTATTGATAAGTATGAGATGACAATGTATAAAATAATTATTATGTAGTAGGATACATTTTTTTAAATAAAAAATGGGTTAAGAATTTGTAGTATTTATATCAATAAAAAATTAATTAAAAAATTAATTAATGTCCTTAAACGTCATTTAACAAGTTATCAGCCGATTATAAACAATTATTTAACCAAACACCATTTTACAAACAACTAACCTCATCAACCAATCAAAATAGCTAACTGAATCCGCTGTTATCAATCGGCTAACGCAACCAGCCAACAGCTAACAACCAACGGCCAATTGCCAAACACCCCCTATACCTGCTTAATTTTCACTGCAATGTCACGTAACTCACGTTTAATGGATACTACGTATATTACCTTTCGGGAAAAGGGGCAAATAAGCTCATGTACTAAACAAAAAAGGTCAAATAAGCCCTTTTATAGGAGGCTATGTCGAGCCGTCGTCATTTGGGCGGTTCCCGGTGGAAATTTTTGATGCAAATTTTTGAGCATATTATTCATTAAGTCTAGTTTACTCATACCAAATTTCAGCTAAAACTTCAATCGGGAAGGCATTCAAATGAATTCTTGAAAATAACTGTGCAGTTATCTTCAAGAATTTATTTGAATGTCTTCTCCATTGAATTGTTAGCTAAAATTTGGTATGAGTAAACTAGACTTAATGAATAAGATTCTTAAAAAAATTCATCAAAAATTTCCATTGAGAACTGCCCCAAATGGCGACGGCCGGACAGAGCCTCATATATAAGAGCTTATTTGACCTTTTTTGGTTAGTATGTGGACTTATTTGCCCCTTTTCCTTACCTTTCCGCCAAGGAGTACTTTAGATAGACTTTGAGATCTTTCGTTCTACCGGTGGGTGTAGCTCAACTGGTAGCAAGGGAGTGTCACAAGGGTTAGGTTCCGGGTTCGAATCCCGGCAACTGCAATGAGGGGTTACTATGCTAAAAATGCATAGGACATCTGCAAGTATAGGGGACAGAGCTCCACTCTTTTTCAGTCAGATTGGGATTATAGTCCAATTGTCATCATTTTTTTGAGTTATCTAGTTCTTCTAGTCCACCTTTTAGAATTATATTTAAAAGATGTTCATATGAAAGAAATAATTATTCTGATAATTAATTCAAACTAAAAGATAAACTTTGCAACATAGTTGATCATGATCAATCATTGCAGTGTTGACAAGAACATGTGAAAACAGATCAATTTGTATAATGAACCTCACTGAACCCATCATATAAACCACACAGCTCATGCAAGTCATATGTTTTTGGTGAAGAAAAAAGATTAGTCTATGCATGAATATAAACTTTTTGCTCTACTACGTATTTTTTTTATACAAAGGAAATGATCTTTTTTGTCTCTACAGATGTAATTATGTAAACATGTAATGCTTCATCTATTCACAACTGCAAGGGGACCACATATTTCAAAAGCCTGTAAACACTCGTATCATGTGTAGATGATATAGGAAACACCAATGGTTCTTCTCTTTAACCTTCAACAGCAGCTTCAGCTGGCACCACCACACGAGGATCAGAAAGAGGTGAGCATGTCACATTTTCGTTTATTTCTGTTTCTTGAAGACAGCTTTTCTGATCTGGGATCTTGATTTCGTTCGGTTTAGATATATATTCGGCAGACCTCTCTTTACTATTCTTAGTGACAGGAAGTCCAGGCAGAGAATGGGTTACCAGATTTCTTGTGGGTTTCTTGGAAGTGAAAGTGCTCTTAGCGGCCTTTGACGGTTTGACAGGTTCTTTAGAAACTACTTTAGGGCTAAGACATGATCCGCCACTTTCAGAGCTATTAGTTGATGCAAAACCTTTTCGGCCGCCAAACTTTGGAGATTTTGGGCGTGTTGTTGGTATCTGTAAAAATGATCAATCATTTGAGCATCAATCTCCTGTTCAAATAAAAGAAGTAATAAAGATTCATAAATTCCCACTTATGATCCCACAATTACTATTCCATTTCTGACTTTCTCCTCACTTTCGCAGTTTCGCTGCACGGGTAAACTATTGATACTTTTTATCCCTGAGGCCATATATCCGGTCAAATGCAACTCAAAATCATCGGTTATATTCAAGCTATGCATTCCCATCATTAAAAGGGAAGATGTAAATTTTAATTTCTTTACACACGAAATCTTCCTCACGAGGACCGCAAGTAGCCCCAATATGAGTTACGCACCAGAAAGGTAAAAAATGAAGTTTAGGCAAAAATGGAAACAACTCTATACATGATGCTATATGGGAGAAATTAGTATGACAGTATGGCACGGGCTATTTGGATATGGCTAGCTGAATGGTTAACTCAGATAATTCTCCGATAAAGAAACACCCTCTCTAAGTATGACTTCAAGTAAAACCCTGGGCAACCGTAAATGACCAATCAGAACCAAGAAACTAGATACTTATAGTTTCATGTCAGCATACCGTGAACAAATTCCGTCAACTATATAACTTTTTGTATTTGTCTAGGGCTAAGATTTCATCAGCTTTACTGCTATTCAAGATAAGCATACTTTCCGTTTAACCTTATTATATTTCCTTGTCTGCTCTTCTCATATTATCTATGACGTACAGGGATCACATTTCACACGTAAGTTTGAAAATTTCCAAGGGATTATTTATGACTATTCTAGAAATCCCATGTTTTTATAATTGACCCCTCTCCCCCCACCAAGTGCCAAATGATTTTTAGAACATGCATAACATAAAGACAGAAGTGTGTTACCTTCTTTAGTTCTGCTTTAATAGCAGGTTCCTTGTAAAAGGTTGGCATAGGTGTAGCTTTAAATGTTAAGCTCTTCCTGAATTGTTTTATCTCTGCTTCTTGGTTTGCCTGCAGCAAACCCCAATTTCAAGGAGACTGCTTATGTCCAAGCTACACCCATAAAACTCTGATCCAAACAAATAAAAACAATGAAAATTCAGAACTATAAATAGTGTGATACCTTGGATTTCGCCTGCAAATTACTCCTCTCCATTTCCCTTGCTTGTACCTTCTCTTCAAGTTTAGAGTAGAACTTAAAGAAGGACAAACCCCATTAATAAACTCATATATGAATAGAACTTAGGATTGGGTTGGGGACACTCAAAAGGGTGATGAGACACTTGGTCCAAACCGCACTAAAAGTTTGAATCCAATCTATTAACTAGTTCAGCCCAAGGTCTTATTAACCCATCATTCTCTCTTTAACTTTCTGGTGTGAAACTCTAACATATATACAACGTAAATCCTTAATGTTATAATGGAATATGGAAACTATAGTTTAGATATACAACCTCCTTTCGCTTTTCAGCACGTTGCTCCAACCTGAAGGAAAATCCAGCAACACTGGTCCTACGTTGTCCATGACGAGTTACAGTTTGATAGATATATCACAAGCAAAATGATGCATTAAGGACCAGTGAAGGGAACAAATGAGATAATTCGAATTAAAGAAGTGCTAATTTTTTTAAGAGAAAAGAAGTGCTAATTCTTAGATAAGAACAGTACGATGAGGTAGTTGACTGCACATCCTCATTCTCCTTAAGAGGCAAAACAGTTTTAATATGTTGCTTGTTTTCATCCCTTACTCTGCAAAAATAATTAGTATAGTCAAGAAGAATAATCTCTAACGGTAAAAAATTTAGGAATTCTACATCAAAGAACAACCACAGATTCCACATACCAAGAAGAGTGTTTAACACTTTACTTACCCTTTAACTGTGTTTTTATTCCCCGCTCCATTTGCAGAAAGAGTGTTACCAGTCTGATTCAAAAAAATAAAGAATTGTAATTTATAAGGCATGGCGTAAAGTAGTTAAAAAGGATGACATGAACAGTGAATAGGATATGAGCCTATGACCAAAATTCCTAAACTTTACCTTTGATTGGTGATGAGCTGGAAAAGTTGTTCTTTTGTGAGTTCCACCTCCGACATTGATATTGGCACTTTTTAAAACACCAGAGGCACGGTTTCCAGTTGGATTTGAACGGGAAACAGGTTTTGAGGTGCCGTTTGGAAGTGATGCCTTGGCATTCAATTTCTTTGGGTACACATCAATGCTTTTCCTCATCAAATCTGAACTAGTAGACTTTGAAGGGAATGAGAGGCTCTTAGTTACGCTTGCCTGTTTCGCACGTGTCAATGCAGCTGAGCCTCTTACACTTGCCTTATCCTTGTTCTGTATATTAGGCTGATATGGTGCTTTACTACATTTCAAATCTTTCCCAGACGATTCAGATTTAAGTGCACATAACTTGGGTCTTTCAATAACCATACCAATATCATTCCTATGAGCTCCATTTTCTTCATTAGAATTTTCAATCAAGCAAGTCTCTTTGTCAACACCCGCAATTTCTTTCTCAATCACACACTTCACTTCCTCTTCAACAACAGCTGCACTCTCTGATGCCATATAGGATCCAATAAACCTATGTCCAATAAAACAATCAAAATTATAGTGGTTGAATCAGTAACTCAGCAAATACACCACTTAGCTAAAAGTCTAACCCTCAACTTTAACACCACATGTTCAACAAGATATATGCGATTTTGAAAAGTAAAGGCCACATCAAGTAACTCATGACATAATAGATACTGAAATTTGGGGTTTGTTCCTAATATGTCGACCTAATCTTTGCATTTTGCTCGGTAGAGTAGTCCACTCTTGATCTCCTTTTGTTCGTTGTTCAAGCTAACACTGTCAAATTGCTTGTTGGAACATACGAGAATTTGATGCAATATTTAAGACATGTCATACTAATAACCTTATATGTGGATTTATATATTTTTGTAATAGCCAATTTGGGATCACTTAACAATTTAGACATCAGAAGCAATGAAATTGAAAGGACCCAAAACCCATTTGCGATGTTCTGATCCAACAAGAGAATTTCAAGATTATATGGATTATGGACATGAACAGAAACACTTTTTGTTCGCAGTCTCATGCAAAAGACAACAACTGAACACAACACAGAACGGAGATTTATTAGATAAAATCACATACTCTGGACAATGAATTTGCACAAAGATGCAGCGAAATTCAGATTAGCACACGATAAAAGTTAGACATTTTCACTGTTTCAGAACTTAAGATCATGCAGGGCTATTTCTGGAAATTTTCTAAATGAACATGAAGAGGATAACCGGGAAAGAAGGGTACCTTGTGCGTAGGCAAGAATGGAAAGTATGCTATTCAGAATTCAAATGCTAATTTGCTCCGGAGTATTATAAAAAGTGGTTACATACACTGAGACAGATTAAAAAGAGGCGGTTCCTCGTAGAAAGTTAAGAAGACAAGCTGCCGAGTTTTATGAAATGTCGGATAGGAATGATTGCTGAATAAAACGAAAGGCAAAATGGTTAAATGAGTAATGTAACAAGAGTTTTTTTTTTGGGGGAAAGAAAATACCGTAGTATAAATGTATAATCTTTGTAGAGCTTGTTTGTTAATAGTGAAATTACATGAATCGGCTGAAAATTGTTTAAATGTGCTTATTTATGAAAATAATACTCCCTCAGTCCCAAATTGTAAGATACATTTACTATTCACTTGGTCAACATAAATCACTCTTAATCTTTTACTTTATATATCAAAAGTTTATAAAATTTGAATTACTTTTTGCAGGTTTTGTAGCGGTTTGAATGTAGTTTCTAAATATGTAAATTTTATTTTCTAAAACTAATTTGAGTGTTGACAGAGATCAATTTGCTTTATCGTCGGTCAAACATCGTAAACCGTAAAGTATCATACAAATTGGGACGGAGGGAGTATTTAAAATGTATTTTACTAATAAAATTAAGAAAAAATTAGATGAAAGATAACTAAAATGATTATCTGCAGTAATTTTAGTTAATCCAGACACACAATATTATTACACAATTCAGCGTCCAAAATTAAAAGTTACATGTTTGACAAAAAATTGATAAAGCTAATAAGGTGGAAATATTATTTCCCTTTTAGCTATCCCAAAAATCTTGTAATTTTCTTTTTCATTCAACTAATTTGTGATTCATGTTATTTCTCTTTACTTGGCGCCAAATTCAACCACACAGACTTTTATTTTATTATTCTCAATGTTGGTTGAAACTTGGCAAAATCTAAAGCGACAAGAAGGAAATGAGCTCATATCAATCCCACCAAACCACACGCAATGGGAAGTGATTTGAATGTTTTGTCACGAGTTAGAGTAAATAAATTGAAAAAAACTATTTGTACACACTTTTTGTACATGTTTTGTCCGTAAATATGTTAATCACAAACAAAAAAATAGTTGTTCACAGACGTGTGTAAGATAATACTCCCTCCGTCCCGTTGAAATGTTCTCGCTTTCCTTTTTTGGATGTCCCGTTGGAAAGTTCTCATTTCCCTAAATGGAAAGTTATCCTACATCAAAACAGGGTCAAACAGTGCAAAACAGTGTCAAACAGTGTCGAAACAGTGCCAAATAGTGTTGAAACAGTGTCAAAACAGTAAAATTTACCCCCTGGTAAATTTATTTCCTTAATATATGTGTAGGTCAAATCGGAAACATTTCAACGGAACGGAGGAAGTATATACAAATAATGTAGAGAAGAATTTTTATTTTAATAGATTGTGGTTATAAAATGCTAACATTAGTAGATTCAGTTTTGAAATGGACATTGTTCGGTTGATCAGACACTTCAACATGGGACATTGTCCGTTGGAGTACATCCAAATGACATTACAGGTTATTAGCATCTGTTTTTTGGGCGTAAAGGAATGGGTGATGATGTGATAGATATCCAATGAAACAGGGTATCCAATGAAACTCTACACAAGAACAGTTCGAAAACATGATAATTATTGCCATTTTTAAATAAAAACCTTAGAGTTATATTGTCCTAAATAAATTTCACACTTTTCTTTTTGGGTAGGTTCAAAATAAACTTCACACTTCTTCTCCCTTCCTTATTTCGCAAATTATTTACATTAAAACAGTGTCAAACAGTGTCACAACAATGTAATCTATGTTAAAGTCAAATTTATTTCCTTAATTTGAGTGAAGTCAAAGTGTGAAGTTTATTTAGGATCTAAGGGAGTATTAGAGATTTAGGGTGATTATATTTATAGAACAACGTAATTGCAATTTCGATATTAAAAAAGAGCATTGTTGCATTTGAACCGAATCAAAAATTATGGTTTCAGGATAACATGAGTAAATTGTAAGTATATGGATAAAATCATACTCTGTATTTATTGTACCTTATTAGCTCTTGCCAAGCTTAAAGGTGGTGCACAACTCAACGGATAAACTTCTAATGGAACGGATGTGGCTGTGATTTCAGTAATTAGGGGTCATATGAACTCTATGAAATTTTCAGTGAATATGGTTGTCATTGCAAAAATTACAAGGTATTGAGTGTATAAAGGGCATAAATTGACTTGCATATTTCATTGTGTAGATGTGACAATGAAATATGTAAGTTAAACTGTATTAATGATTGTGTTTTGATTTGATGTAACTGAAATTTGAATTCTACATAGAATGATTCGGCTAATCGTTATTAAATCACAAAAACTCTACATAAGGAGTGTTGCTATTGAAATTTCCTTTTAAAAACTTTAAATTACTATTCTTTTGTAGACGTTTCTATTTAATTTTAAGTCATGCAAAACTAATGTTGATGTGAGATTTACATCTATGAATTTCTTACCCACACAAATTCAACTTCTACAAGATTGTTTTGTTGTCTTTTAAATTGACTTACATTATGATTTACTTTTATTGAGTTGTATTTATCAATTTTAGGGTTTGATTCAAAGATACAATGATGATGAAAGGTCTCCGATGTGGTCATGTTATGGGCCTTATGGCGGGCTTGCCCGAGCAATGAATGATATTCTCTGAATTATAGAAAAAATAATGACACGAGACATACACAAAGCTAATCTTTTTTAATTGTAACATTTCCATTTTCACGCTTGACAACGTACAATTTTGACTCTTATTATATTTAATTCTCTATATAGTAAGAGAAATTAAAAATTGAATTATAAAAATTTGTAATGACAATACTAAAAGAAATTGTAATGACACGAACTCAACATAGTTTTCAAACAAAATTAATTTTCATACGTTAATAAATAAAATGTAATCGTGGATGTGAACATTGTAAACTTATCTATTTTGCAACTAAAAATAAGTGGAAGATAGTACTTTACACACCCAGAAAGGAATTTTATCAATTCAGGACTCGAAAGATAAATTAATTATCAATTCAGGACCTGAAAGATGAAACGTATCAGTATAGGACCCGAATGATGGAAAACTATCAATTTAGGACCTGACGTTTCATAGGTTTTGATTTATTTAATTTTTTATTAATTCCATTACTAATTTTTGATAAACTTTTCTTCACAAAAGTTTATTAGTTTAATAAAACGAAATAATATTTAAAAAAAATTAATAAAAAAAATTATGACAACTTAGGTCCTAGATTAATAGTTTTCAATCATTCAGGTCCTAAATTGATAGTTTTTCATCATTCGGGTCCTATATCGATGCATTTTATCTTTGAGGTCCCGAATTGATAATTAATCTATCTTTCGGATTCTGAATTGATAAAATTCCTTTACACAAATGTTACAATGAAAATCACCCTATCCCGAAAAGTTGATGAAAAATTAATCACCCCATCAATGAAAAATTGATAAAAATCATTTGTGAAATTGATTGAGAATAAACATTGTTGTTTTCGACTAATATTAATTTAAAGTAATACTCCGTATTTTTATCCATTGGAGAATAATTTGTTTCATTTTTTAAAAAATAATAAATTTATGATTCATTTTATCTGTCTACCATTTCTTTTCTTTTTTTGGAAGAAGGGGGCTTGAATTGATATTACAACATTCAAATAGGGGATAAAACGACAAAAAGATCACATGCAACCGTCATCCCTCGAACCGGACTTAGAGTCATTCACCTTAAAAAAAGCAATATGACTCGATGATTCTATAATGGGCATAAATGAGCCAACGACAGTTAAAGCAGGCCTCCCATCACCCAATCCTAATGCAAGAGTCTTATAACAATAAAAGTGACCAACCGAAAAATAAACAGTCTGGCGGCGGTTCAGGAGGGGGACGATCCAACAATACTGTAACTTCTTCTTCTGCTTGCCTCTTATTCATCATGTTCTCTACCAATCCTCCTCTGTTGCCTAACACGGGTGACCTCGAATCCAGATCTGTTCTAGTCCCTAGCCCTTCTAATCTCAACCATGAACGACATACTCGAAACTCTTAACCTGCTGCCAGGGGTGCACAACCTTTAGCCACCATATAGGCGCTGCGGCCTGCCGAAGAAGAAAGCCTCACGAATGACAGATGAAGGCCGCACAAGAATGCCGCACTTCATCGAATACGAAATCGGAGAAAAACGATCCCTAAACCTAGGGGAGAAAGTGATTTTTATCAAGCTCACCAACTTACAGAGTATAATGTTTAATTTTTTGAAAATAATATAACGTTCAAACACTACCAAATGTTATACACCTTCCGTCCTTTTTTTTGTTTAGTCAAATTTAAATTTTCAAGTGAATGATGTTAAACTTTGATTGATTATATATTTATGCACATCAACATTGATAATATGAAAATGATATGATGATATTCTTTGTTCAAATACTATCATAACAACAATAACATCCAAGCCTTATTAAAAAAATATTTTGGCGTTCAAATACTATGATAAACATATAAATTTATAAGTTTCACATATTCCCTCCGTCTCGGTGGACTTTGCCAAGTGCAAAGTAAGTGAGGAATAAGAAAAGTAATAACTGTGTGTTGGAGATTTGTGCAGAGAAGAGAGAAATATGTAGAACCACAATTAGTTGCTTTAATAGGAAAGTGACAAAGTTTTTTGGAACAACCAAAAAGGAAAGTTGGTAAAGTCCAATGGGACGGAGGGAGTATAAGTTAAAATAATGGATCAAAGTTTACCATCTTTGACCAGAAAAAGCCAAAGATGGCTAAATAAAAAGACCGAGGTAGTATTATCTAAAAAATTATTACATTTTAAATGTAACTTTTAATTTCACGCGCTTAGTTACGTTGTACTATGTATAATAATTAAATGAGTAATGTTGGGATTACTTTTCAGGCTAAATTGGATGAAATTCTTTCTGACTAAGATAATTTTAGTGTTACCAAATCCAAACAAATTCAAAATTCTTGTTAAATACAGTGAGTTACGAAAAAATTATATTTCAAATATATTTCATAAATAAAAAATAAATGTAAATAATAAAATGTTCCTGTATAGTAACATCAATTAGAAAAGTAACACAATCCTTACTTATTTTGATTAGTACACAATGCAGCGCATGAACTAAAAAGTCATGTTTATTTGGTAAAAAAATTAGTTGAAAAGTTGAAAATAAAGCCTACTGAGCCAACATTTCAACAATTTCAATCAACTCAGCTAATTCAACTCTTTCGATCAATAGAGCTTCACAAAAGATTTTGGGTTCAAACACTATAAGAATCCAGGCGGGAGTTTCATGTGAATTTCCTCCCGCCTGAATTCTTTGCTAGGTCGCCTGGCCGTGTGTGCCGTCTCCGGAAATCATTATATGGCTTACGTCTGGCGCCCCGGTGTTGGTTTGCCAAGTTTGCTACCTCTTTGAAGAATTATGGCTTTCACCAATCCTATTCCGATTACTCCTTGTTCACATTTCATCGGGGTAATTAATATTCGGCTCAACATTCTTGTGTAGGTTGATGATTTGATTATTTCCGGTAATGATTCCTTTGCACCGATGTCTTTCAAAGAATATTTGAGCACCTGCTTTCATATGAAAGATTTGGGCACACTCAAATATTTCTTAGGAGTGGAGGTTGCCCGCGACACGGAAGGTTTATTTCTTTGCCAACACAAATACTGTCTTGATATTATTAGTGATGCGGGACTTCTAGGTGCCAAGTCAGTCAACATTCCACTTCCGCAAAACCATTCTTTAGACATGGCCTTGGGTGAGCCTCTTAATGATCCGGAATCTTATCGGCGTCTAGTCGGCCATCTTATTTATTTGTGCTTCACACGTCCTAATTTAGCTTATGCCGTCCACATATTGGCTCAATTTATGCATGCGCCGCACCCAGATCATTGGGCAGTATCCCTCCGCGTGGTTCGACATCTCAAAGGATCTTCTGGACACGGTATTCTTCTTTGGTCCGATAATGACTGAAGCTAGTTGTCCACTTACACGTCGTTCTCTTACTGGTTGTCTTGTGTTTCTTGGATACTCTCCGATATCTTGGAAAACCAAGAAATAACATATTGTCTATAGTTCTTCTGGTGAGGCAGAATATCTGTCCATGGCCTCGGCTACATCTGAACTCAAATGGCTTAAAGCTCTCTTGCTTGATCTCAGTATCAATCATACTCAATCTATGCCGCTCTTTTGTGACAATAAATCCGCTCTTCACATTGCTCAAAACCCGGTTTTTCACGAACGTACTAAACACATTGAAGTGGATTGTCATTATGTTTGTGATGCGGTTCAAGATGGGACGAAATGCACTCAGGGGCGTAGCTAGGGGGTGTCAAGCCTAGGCCTTGACCCACCCCAAATTTAAAAAATGCCTATATTTTTAGTGTAAAAAATTCTATGTAAAAAAATCAATTTTTTTTTTTGTACCGGCCCAGTTCCTGGCTCCACCCCTGGCCTGTATGCACTTCACATGTATCTACTACAGAGCAACTTGACGACATCTTCACCAAGGCATTGGGTGCCGGGTAATTTCATTTTCTGCTCAGCAAGTTGGACATTCGTGATCCGCATGCTCCAACTTGAGGGGAGATGTTAAGGAATATTATGTATAGTTTATATTATTATTATTTGTATTATTCCTTTTAGCTTAGCCCGGTTTGTAAATTTAAGTAGGGCTCTTGTTTAGGCTCAAGTGCATGGCTTGTGTACAGAGGCGGACCGTAGTACAGACCCAGGGGGGCTACCGCCCCTCAACAAGATTTTTTTAGTGTATATATATATATATGAAAAATAATTTTCTCCCTCTCCAAAAATATTTTGAACCCCCAAAAACTATTTTCGTCCCCCAAGTTGGCATTCCTGGGTCCACCCCTGCTACATAATCCTTTGTTAGTTTATATCCCTTGTTACATAATGAATAAACACCTTTTCTAATTTCTACCCTAAACTAATTCGCAAAAAATAAGCAACACGAAGACGAAGACGAGAAACGTGAAACAGAAGAAACACCATTTTTAGACAAAAGAATTGTAATAGAAGTTCTCTGTGAGTTTTAGAGAAGTGGCCGGCCTTCTAATTATTTAAACCAAGCCTACTCCATCGAAGAACAGTTACAGGTACACCCCTTCTGTGTCGTTTATGCGTATCACTCACAGCTGTACAAAACTATATATATCTTGCTCTTTGTTAATTATTTGAAATGACAGGAAATGAAGAAACAAAAAAAAGAATACTTTTTTAATACCCCAATTTGCTAATAATTACAATTATTGAATCAAGTATCATTAATTTGTCCAGGTCATCGGTATTTGACGTTATTTTCTTAACTGGCTGCATTCTAATAATTGGTAAATGCCTGAAGTGTAGTTTTATTAAACTACAGCTTTCCACTGAATATAAGCACTTTTGGTTTTGAATACCTGAAAAATAGCATTTGTAATACGGAGTATGAAATAGTTGGGAGCCTACATGCAAAGATCTTTGAAATTTACAAAAAGAGATCACTAAAATTTTGATTTTTACGCATTCTAAAACATTTCATTTTTTGCTTTAGCTTATTGTTTAAAGGAAAACCCCAACCAACCATTCCAGCTCACTCGATGAGAGGTTACCGTATCCTAGCGGAGGTCTCGCGTTCGAATCCTGCTAGACACATTTAGGGGAGAGGAGGGTGATCTTGCTCTCAATGATTCTTCCTACCATCACTGACGAAACTGATTCTTCCTACCATCACTGACGAGACTGACTGTGATCAGATACGGATTTAACTGTTTAGGGGTTTTGGAGGTTTGTTCATAGATTCCAGAATCAGGGGAGTGCAAACACCGACACCTGGATCATAAAAAAAGGAAAACCCCATCTCTCTCATATATTCTTAGATGTATAGGTAAGGTATTTTTACATCTCACTCGTAACAAAGCTTAGACTATTTTAAATTATGTAATTATTCTAATAAGTTTGTATTTGTAAAAAAATATAATCATGTTGCAAAATTAAAATTTTAGAAAAAAATCAGAGTATGTATATTACATATGTAAGTTTAGGGTACTTATCTCACACTCCATTAAAGTATGAAGTATTTAAATTATTTCCCCTTTTATTTATGTCAAAAGCATTAACTTAATTAATTTCCTTTTATTTTTATTTTCAAAAAGGATGGATTGAATTTTAAGTGGGTGATAATACAAAAATAGGTTTGGGCTATAGAAATGAAGGCCGTGAATTTTAATAATAGACAATAATGGTGGCCCAAATTGCCCACAATTAATCCACAGTCAAACACGCGCGCTGCTCCAATCGTTTTTCCAGCCGATCAGAGTGTGTGTAGCCGGCAGCTAAAATCCTTACCAGTGCACACAGTCTCAAGCTTCCTCCGGCAAGCCACTAACGTCAGGGATGGATCCTGGATTTCGAGTCAAGAGGACGAAAATTTTCGTTAGTGTAGGAGATAAAAAATTCATTAGTGTAGCGGGGTGAATTTTTTTTCTAGTGTAGCGGGGTGAATTTTTTTTCCAGTGTAACGGGGCGAATTTTTTCACTAGTGTAAGGCCGGATTTCGAGTCAAGGGGGCGAAAATTTTCGTTAGGGACGGATCCAGGATTTCGAGTCAAGGGGGCGAAAATTTTCGTTAGTGTAGGAGATAAAAAATTCATTAGTGTAGCGGGGTGAATTTTTTTTCTAGTGTAACGGGGCGAATTTTTTCACTAGTGTAACGGGGCGAATTTTTTCACTACCCTAACAGGGCGCATTTTTTCACTGGCATGGGGCGAATTTTTTTTATAGCTTAACGGGGCTATTTTTATCGAGGGCTGTCGCACCGGGCACCCCCTTAAATCCATCCCTGACTAACGTGTTACATCTACGCTCTTGAAAAAGTAAAGAATTGGGACGTGATATCGCAATCTCATTGGATGGTGTTAGGGACAAGAATTTGACGCAGCTGAAGAAGCTCAACACCGCCCTCTTCCCTGTCCGCTACAACGACAAGTACCACACCGATGCAATCGCCTCCGGCGAAATCACCAAGCTAGGTAACCTGTTTCTCCTTTCCCGTTACTCTCGCACTTCATCAGGCCGGGTTCTCTCCATTTAGTTACTGAGTTATGGACAATAAAAACAAATCTTTTTTTATTCGATCACGCTTCTGAGTTCTTATGATAGTTTTGTTTTCTCAAGCTGGTATAAACAATTCAGGAGTATATGTATCTTTATCTTTACTAAGTACTACTTCGAAACATTGCCATTTTTTTCAAGTCAATGTGGTAAATTTGGCTAATGATTTGGATTGATATATGTAGTATTTCTGTTAAAGTTATAAGTTTTATACCTTAGGAAAGTATATCTTTGGCAATAATTACCTTAGGGAAAAGGAGAGAACTATAAAGGAGCATGCGTCAAATATTTTGGTCCATGATAATACATTTTGAGCAATAATATATTTATATATGAAATTCTTTATAATATAAAAATGATACTCCATTTGTACTTAAAACTTTGACTTGAATTTGACGCATGCTCTTTTATAGTTCTCTCCTTTTCAAATGCTGACTTTACTAACCAATATGGCATGACGTCATGCTGTATTGCCCATCAACCTTTAATTCCCTCCTTTCTTCCTTGTCTTTTAGAGGAAAGTTCATAGCCATTATGTGCACACGTACAAACAGTGAGACAGACATTATGTATGTGCTCTTCTCTGAACCAACAGATGTTGACCTTGTCTCATGTCTTTTACGTGGAGCAAAATGCACCTTACTTCAGAAGAAGAACTATTTCAGTTTTAATTCCTTCTTTCTTTTTCTGTACCTTACACACCATAACTGTGATCACTAGACTTGGGTGCTTTCATTTGAAATTTTGTAGTAGCAATTTGTTAAGCAGAAAGTACTTTTTCATCGCACTGGTGAATGTTTTTTAATCAAATTATTTTTGCTGTAAATAGATGAGACTACTTGAGGCTGATCATTTTTGAAAACTTTGGAAAGGTGCTCCAGCTGTAATTCGTGAAAATCTTAACAGCACACCTATGTAGCACGGAAACTCTTGGGAAGGAGTATGTTTCCGTTTCGGAAACTCTACGGAAACTCTTGGAAACTCTCCAAACAAGCCCTTTTTGAGCAACATTTGACGTTTCCCATTTCCCGTTTCCTCATGACTTTCACGTTTCCGTGCAACATAGCAGCACACCCAACATGTGTTCTTTGAGTTCCTATGTTATTTATGTATTCTTGCCTCACTTTGTGATCCTCATATCGTGTTAGTAATATTGTAGTTTTAATTAGCTATTTTCTACTTCATTTATTGATGCCTTCCACATCCTTTTATCAGAGCTTATTGTACAACTTCATTGGTGAATGGTAAAATTCTTTGCATTTGCTTTTATTTGGTCTCGTCTCCCTGCATTGTTATTTGTGTTACATATTTGATTATATAAATGTTCTATTTTTTTTTTCTTTTGTAGCTGAACATATTAAAAGAGTTCGAGATAAGGTCTATGGGCAGCAGTCTGCTATGGAAAATTCTCCCAAGCGCTCATCTCCTGTGAATAGGTAGCGTGTCTCTGTTATCATCATAATCATCATTACCCCAATGCCGCAAAGGCTCCCTCCCACCTTCGGTGGGGTAAGGGGGGTCGGATGTACACATTCTTACCCCCAGAGAGACTGCTTCCGGATGACCCAAAGTTGCAAAATATATATTGTTTATGGATTCAACAAATTTCAAATAAAGAACTAAGGTGCATATTTCACATATCCTTGATGATTCCATCTTTACTTGTATTTGTGGTTCTGTCAATGAACTTATTGGTGGGTTACTGTTATTAGTATCCATAATACATATCTCTATTAGGTTTTCGATCTTCTTCGTTAAATGCTTCAATTGGCCATCAAATTCTGCCCAAAGTCTCGACTCCCGCTCTCCACCATCTTCCGCAGACTCACCACATCCGCTGCTGCCCTCGTGGTTTCTTATAAGGAGTCATCAATCAGCACCCCCTACCCCATCACTCCTCCCCGATCTTCCTCTGCAAGAAATGAAGCTGCCCAAAAATTACTATTTCTCTTCAGTGGTCTCTCTGCCAAGGGACACACTGTCGAGAAATTGTGCCACGACCGTAGATTTGGAGGCTTGCTATCGAGGGTGAATGCGTCCGAAGTGGAGAACATTGTTGAATGGTTGAGGCTCAAAAAGCCGCACTTGGCTGTAGACTTCTTCTTCTTAGCTAAAAAGCATGATTTCAAGCACTCTATGTGCTGTCAGTTCACTGTGTCTCATGTTTTGGCAAGAAAGCGGCAACTAAGGGAGTTGAGGTCCCTGTTGCAGGAAATTGTTAGAGAAGAAGGTTCGTTGTTGTGTTTTAGATTTTGTGTTGCATTTTGTTTCTTAAGGATACACTACATCCCTTTTTATTAGATACTCGAGTAGGTTGTTCACAGTTTTTTTTAAGAAAATTGAGGTAGTAATGAATAGTAGGAGAGAGTAGTTGGAGAAGTAAAACAAGTAAGATAGAGAAAGATGAAAGTGTAAGGGCATTTATATATTCTGATAGGAAACTATTAGCCAAATTAAGAAAGCAGAGAATATTTAATAACTTCTTAAGAAATAATACAAAGAAACTAATACAAAACAAGAGGGAGAGTTTATTTTTAATATCAAAGTTGTGTTCTAGTTAGAAATTCATGACCGTCTTTAAGGTTTCCTAGGAAGCATTCAGAATCCGGTCAAAGGGGTAAGCATTTGTGTTACTCAATATTGAAATTGGAGGCTGGATAATGAGCAAAACATGCCGCTGATGAAATTATTTTAGTATGAAACTTTTTTTCCCTATCTTGATGATTCGAGCACTGGAGTCTGTACTCTGTACCTTTCTCAAATCTCAGGTCACTTGTTTTTTTGAAGATTTTGAATTTGAGAGCACATTTCAAAGAATTTCGACTGTTCTATATAATTTCGGGTACTACCAATTTTTGTTTTAAATTTGAGTTTGTATAACTTGTAAAAACATTTGAGAATATAAAAACATTGAATTTATATGTATGTAGTGAATGGAAACACCTTTTTATGTTTTAATGTCACACTTATGCGGTCCATTCTCTGTTTATATTTGTAACAATCTCCACCAGGCTCTGGTTCTGCATATGCACTTTGTGAGTTGCTTCAGAATAACTTTGAAAATTGGGTTTCTCGTAATGTGGTATGGAATATGCTGGCCTTTTCTTATTTGAGATCGGATATGGTGGTTGATTGTCTATGCGTTATATCCAAGATGAAGGATTTGAATCTTGAAGTTTCAATAAAGACTTATAATAATTTGCTACACAATTTGAGGCACACTAATTCTCTGTGGCATGTCTACAATGAAATAAAAGATTCTGGGGCTTCTCCAAGTGAATACACAAAAGCTGTAAGAAGATACTTTGATGAGTTGACACAAAATGACTTAATAGATGACATTGTTCGGTATAATATATTGATCTACAAATATGTCAAGTGTGGTGATTTAAGAAAAGTTGACCAACTATATAGACTCTTATTGAAGAGAGAAATTGCTCCAAACATTATAACTTTTAATTCTCTTATATATGGATTCTCCAAGGCCAAGAAGCTACTTAAGGCAAAAAAGTTCCTTTATGACATTTATGCACATGGTCTTATGCCAACTGTTCGAACTTTCACCACTCTTATGAATGCATATGTTGAAGAGGGAGATGAAGAAGCATTTTGTAATAACCTTAGGGTAATGGACGAAATGGGCATAGAACTAAATTGTGTTACTTACACAGTGATGATAAAATTTCATTGTAATTGTGGGAGGCTTCAAGAATCTGTTCAAATATTAAAGTATATGTTAAGTAAGGGCCTTTCACCTGACGAAGTTGCTTTTAACACTGTTATATGCGGGTTTGCCCAAGCAGGAGATATGAGGTTTGCCTTTTGTTTATACAATGAGTTGGTAAGGAGTAATAATGTTCAGCCTAATCATGTAACCTACAACGTTCTCATTACCGGTCTATGTATATTTCTGGATATAAGGGTTGTTGATACATTTTTCACGTTTCTTCAAGATCAGAATGTGAGTTTATCAAAACAAGCCTATACCACTCTTGTAAAAGCACATTCTGCAAAGGGTGATGCAAAGAGAGCAATAGATCTATTCGAGCAATTGATGCATAAGGGATATGAAGTTTCAGTAAGAGATTACAGTGCTGTTATTAATAGGTTGTGTAAACGCCACTTAATACAAGACATGTTATATTTTTTTGGTATGATGTTGTCAAATGGCATAACAGTTGACAAAAGAATTCTTTTGGTTATACGCAGTGCTTTGCATCGCAGAAATGACCACGAGTCGTGGTATCAGTTTGACTGTTTGGTGGAGAAATATCACTTAAATGTGGGCTAGATTTAAGAGCATATGGAAGTAGGAAGGCCTTTTGTTCTGATGAGGGATATCTTGTTACCTCACGCCCTCACTACATTGTATATCATTATTGAGCTCTCTTTGTGTATTGTGGCTGATACTGAGGACATAAAGTCTACCTTTGGATATAGTGAAACCAAAAAAGGTTTTAGTTGTTGAAAGAGTGATAGAAGCCCTGGATTGCAGAGTGGAAGAGTTTCTATTGTGGGAACAGTGAAAAAGCGAGACATATTCGGGGCCAGAGGAAGCGAGTGATGGTGGGCTTGGAAAATGGCTATGGTATTGATTTTAGATGAACTACTGATTTGGACAGCTCTTCTTTTCACTTGTTACTTATCTAGAGCTTTTGCCGAGAAGCTTTTGAAGGAGTAACTTTAACCAACCATGGTGCTTAAACAACAAGGTAGTTTTCTAAACTTATTTTAACATCTTTCCTCCCTCCACCCTGTCTTTATTCTTTTACTCAATGGAATTGTACTTTTGGGAGAGTTTCGTTCCACATATAGGACCCATTTTTACAAATTGGGTGAGTATTCCTGTAAAACTTTGGAGTCTTAAGGATTATTTTACTTGGACTTATTTTAGCCCCACACCAGTTCGGACCAGATCAGACTTAAATAAATGGACCAGACCAGACTTTAATAGACTAGACTTGTGCAGTTGTAAAATACAAAGAGACTAGACATCTACCAGACCATCCCAATTTAGACTTAAATAGACCAAACCAGAAGCGAAAATTTCAGTCCAAGTAAAAACATCTCAAATGAGGTGATGCTACCAAAATATAACAACCTCTACCTTATTACGCCTACACTCACCACCACATCAGTTCAATGCACAAAGGAAAACATACTAACCTCACTTAAGCCTCCAAATTGTCAAACTACTCCCTCCGTCCCACTAACAATGAGACAAGAGGGAGTGACACGCAAACCAATAAAAAATGGTTTATGTGGTTGATATTGAATTGATAAAGTAAGAATAAAGTAAGAATGATTTAGAGCCACAAAAATTTTACCAAATTTGGTATGGGACAATCTTAGTGGGACGGACCGAAAAGGTAAAATGGTACAATCTTAACGGGACGGAGGGAGTATTTCATTTTTCAACTGACTGTAAATAGGCTTTAGTGCTTTACTAAGATAGGGTAGTTGAATAAAGACATGACCAAGAAAGAATATAATGTAATTCAAAATGATTGTAAATTGCAATATGCTTATAATTGTTCAATCTCCTAAGATCTTCAAGTTCCTGTTTGTCATTTACTGATGGGACCCCGGCTACTATGACTAATAAGAATAGATATGGCTTAGTCTATTCTAGAAAGAAGAAGTAGTTAAGTAGTTATTAAGCGGTTAGTTGTTATGTTATAATAACTGCTGAAGGCTGTGGTGAGGGAGTCTATAAATAGAATAAACCAGCTAGGAGTTAGGCAGGCTGTTAGATGCTTGGCTTGGGACTGAGGAGTTAGAGTGCTATCTCTAGCTTTGGGACTATTGTACTGTATACCGCCATTAATGAAGTTTGGAGATTGTTTCTAGTTTGTTCTGTTGATTGTGGATTGTGAACTGTTCTTATCATTGGTATCAGAGCGTGTTTGATCGCTGGATGACCGTGACGCGAACGAAGATGGAAAGCCGAATGACGGAAATGGAGAGAAATTTGCGTGAGATGCAGGCAAATTTTACGACTGCATTGACGACGATGCAAGCTAGTTTAGCTGAAATGCAGAACATGAGCTCTGAGAGATCACGAAGTCGTTCGCACCAGTCGAATACTTCACGTCGATCGGCTCAGGGGAGACACACGAAGCAGGATGATAGTCCGGAAGATTCAGAGACAAATTCCGATTACTCTGCCTTGCATCAGGATCGCAATCATCATAGGCGACAACGAAATCCAAATCAAGCTGGACGGAAAATTGATTTGCCTATTTTCAACGGAGAGGATGCTTTTGGTTGGTTGGTGAGGATGAATCGCTACTTCATATTGAATCAGACTGATGAGAGAGACAAAGTGGACATGGCCGTTCTGGCAATGGAGGATCAGGCTCTGAGTTGGTTCCAGTGGTGGGAAGGACAAGCTCGCCATATGAACTGGGAGAGTTTTACGAAGGATTTGACTAAACCCTTTCAACCAGAACTGGTACAAGATCCGTTAGGACCTTTGTTCAGTTTAAAGCAGAGAGGAACTATGAAGGAGTACAGGGACAAGTTTGAAACTGCCATAGCCTCCCAGGGACATCTAACGGAGGAGGTTCTGAAAGGTGTTTTCCTTAAGGGATTGAGAAGGGATATCAGGGCTGAACTGAAGTTGTATACTACCAGAACATTAGCTGAGGTTATGGATCAGGCTTCACTTATTGAGAACAAAAATAATGAAGCTATGTTGATGAAGAACAAAGAAGAAGGAAAGAAAAAGGGGCTGAGTAAGAGCAATAGTTCATATTCTCAAACACTTTGGGGTGATGGAAGCAGATGGGAATGTATTCCTAACATGCCAAAGAGTAATTCTGATTACAGAAGCAACACTGAAGTAAAGACACCTAATATGAGTAAATCTGGTCCAAGATTATCCAGGAGTGAGCTACAAGAAAGGAGTAGGAGAGGCTTGTGTTTCAAATGTGGAGAGGACTGGAGCAAGGGTCATAGACTCATATCTGAAAGATGAAGAACTATAAGCTGATTCTAGTAGAACAATCTGAAGGAGAAGGGGAATCAGAAGGGGAATTACTGGAATCTGAAGAAGAGGAAGACACTCCTAAACAATTGAAAACAATGCAACTTTCTGTTTTAAGTAAGGAGGGCATTCCATCAATGAGAACATTCAAGGTGCAAGGGGTATTGAATTGGTTTGAGGGAAAACAGCCTGTAAACATTCTGATTGATAGTGGAACCACACACAATTTCATAGCTCAGGGTTTCATTGATAGGTGGAAGGTACCTTTTATGCCTATACAGGGATTTAAAGTACAAATTGGCAATGGGGATTTCATCCATAATAGTGGCAGGTGTGATGGAATGAAGCTGGAAGTGCAAGGAAATACCATACAACAATCATACTATATTTTGGAGTTGGGTGGTACAGATGTTGTGTTGGGTATGGAGTGGCTAATTGAGCTGGGTAATATGGAAGTGAATTTTCAAAAGCAAGTGATAAGGTGGAAGCAACAAGGAAGGGTAAATTGTATCCAAGGAGAAGCAGCCCTGAATAATTTGGAGGTACCAGTGAAAACAATGCTACATATTCTACAGAAAGAAGGGGAGGGATATTTTCTGTATTATGAAGGGCAGCTGTGTGGTTTGGAGCAGAATACTAATGAAGCACAGGTTTGGGAAGACATCATTGCTGAATTTCCAAAAGTGTTTACAAATCAGTTGAAGTTTCCTCCTGCCAGGGATTGTGACCATGCCATAAACATACAAGAAGGAGCTAGTATACCAAATCGGAGGCCCTACAGGTATACTTTTGATCAGAAGAATGAGATAGAGAAAATCATCGGTGAAATGTTAACTGCTGGTATCATTAAGCACAGTAATAGTCCCTACAGTAGTCCTATCTTATTGGCCAGAAAAAAGATGGGGGTTGGAGGTTTTGTGGGGATTATAGTGCTTTGAATAAGATCACAATACCGGATAAATTTCCCATACCAATTATAGAGGAATTGCTTGATGAGTTGGGAGGCGCAAAGATATTCTCTAAGTTGGATCTGAAATCTGGCTACCATCAAATTAGAATGAAGGAAAGTGACACCTGTAAAACTGCTTTCAGGACACATGAGGGTCATTACGAGTACCTAGTCATGCCATTTGGGTTGACTAATGCACCTTCAACTTTCCAGGCTCTTATGAATGAAGTTTTGAGACCCTACCTCAGGAAATTTGCCTTGGTGTTCTTTGATGATATACTGGTGTACAGCAAAACCAAGGAAGATCATAAGGAACACCTAAAATTAGTACTGGATGCCTTGAAGAGAAATGATTTGGTTGCAAATCAGAAGAAATGTTCTTTTGGTCAAGAACAACTGAGTTATTTGGGTCATATCATCTCAGTAGAAGGAGTGGCAGCAGACCCTAGCAAAACTAAGGCCATGATGGAGTGGGCTGTACCAAAAGATCTAAAGGAGTTGAGTTTTTTTTGTGTCTGACTGGATACTACAGGAGATTTGTCAAAGGCTATAGTCACATTGCTGCTCCATTAACACAATTGCGGAAGAAGGATGAGTTTAAATGGAATGAGATGGCTACCAAAGCTTTTGCTGAGTTAAAGGGTGCTATGTCTTCTTTACCAGTTCTAAGAATCCCTGATTTCAATAAAGTTTTTGTAGTAGAAACTGATGCTTCTGGAAGAGGGTTAGGGGCAGTTCTGATGCAAGATGGAGGTCCCATTGCTTTTTTGAGCAAAGAACTAGCTCCCAAACATTTGAGTAAATCCGTTTATGAAAAGGAGTTGATGGCAATTGTGTTTGCTATACAGAAGTGGAGACCATATTTACTGGGCAGAAAATTTGAGGTTCATACAGATCAAAGAAGCCTTAAATATCTGAATGAGCAGAAAATTATGGGAGAAGATCAACAAAAATGGATAGCCAAGTTAATGGGATACAATTTTATCATTAAGTATAAACCTGGATGTGAGAATAAAGCGGCTGATGCTCTGTCAAGGAAGTCAACTTTTTCAGCCTTATCAATTGTAAATTGTCAAGAATGGGAGGGATTAGAAGATGAGCTAACGGAAGATCCTAAGTGTGCTGATATCATTCAGAAGATTCTCAGTCATCCAGATCAGATGGCTGATTTCAGACTGAAGAAGGGGTTGTTATATTATAAAGGAAGACTATGATACCCTAGAATTCTCCCAGAGTGAAAAGAATTCTTCTGGAATATCATGATTCTGCAACAGGAGGACACTGGTAATTTCAGAACTATGAAGAGGATCTCAACACTGTTCTATTGGGTGGGTATGAGGAAGGAGATACACCAATATGTACAGAATTGTGAAGTTTGTCAAAGAAACAAGTATCAAGCCTTGAAACCTGCAGGGTTGTTACAACCATTACCTATCCCAGATTGCATTTGGACTGATATAAGCATGGATTTTATTGTTTGACTGCCAAAAGCTCAGGGAAAAGACACTATTCTGGTGGTGGTGGACAGATTAATAAAATTTGCACACTTTATAGCCTTGTCTCATCCTTATAATGCTAAAGGAGTAGCTGAATTGTTTATCAAAGAAGTGGTTAGACTCCATGGATTTCCTAAGACCATAGTGAGTGACAGAGATATCATCTTCTTGAGTTCTTTTTGGGCAGAACTATTTAGACTGGCTGGCACACAATTGAGATACAGTACTGCATACCATCCTCAATCTGATGGACAGACTGAGGTTGTTAATAGGTGCTTAGAGACCTATTTGAGATGTCTTACAGGGAAGAAACCTAAGGAATGGACCAAATGGTTACCTTGGGCAGAGTACTGGTACAACACCAATTACCATATTTCCTTGAAACAAACTCCTTACCAGGCTTTATATGGCCAAGAACCTCAACCAATTGTCAAAGGAGATGTGGTTATGACTTATGACTGCTATTGATGAAGTGTCAAGGTTGACAGCTGAGAGGAATGGAATGTTAGCAGAAATCAAGGAAAATTTGGTTATTGCCCAGAATAAGATGAAGCAGCAAGCTGACAAGCACAGGAGAGAGGTGAAGTTGGAGGTGGGTGAAAAGTTTTTTCTGAAAATTCAGCCCTATAAATTGCAGAGTTTGGCTAAGAGAATTAATCAGAAATTGAGTCCAAGGTTTTATGGACCCTTTGAGATCCTTGAGAAGTTGAATGATGTAGCTTTTAAATTGAAATTGCCAGATCAATGCTTGATACATCCAGTGTTCCATATTTCTTTACTCAAGAAAGCTCTAGCTTCCAATACTTCAAGTCAACCATTGCCTAAGTGTTTGAATGAGAACTCGGAATTGATGGTGACTCCAGAGAAGGTGGTGGATACATTGGAAAGATCTGCCAGAATTTGAAAGGTCCTGGGAAGATGCCCAAGTGTTGAAGACACAGTTTCCAGACTTCAAGCTTGAGGACAAGCTGGTTTTTCAGGAGGGGAGTAATGATAGGACCCCGGCTACTATGACTAATAAGAATAGATATGGCTTAGTCTATTCTAGAAAGAAGAAGTAGTTAAGTAGTTATTAAGCGGTTAGTTGTTATGTTATAATAACTGCTTAAAGCTGTGGTGAGGGGGTCTATAAATAGAATAAACCAGCTAGGAGTTAGGCAGGCTGTTAGATGCTTGGCTTGGGACTGGGGAGTTAGAGTGCTATCTCTAGCTTTGGGACTATTGTACTGTATACCGCCATTAATGAAGTTTGGAGATTGTTTCTAGTTTGTTCTGTTGATTGTGGATTGCGAACTGTTCTTATCATTTACCTTCAAGGTTTGTATGACTTGAAGGTATCAGTTGCCGATTGCTGCCTTTTTTTGCAGTGAATCTGAGGGTCTAAGAACTCATCACATCATCACTTAGACACTTACATGGGGATGAATTGATCAATTTTTCACAGGGTAGAACTGCAGAACCTTGAATACATTTAATCTTAATGCGCAAAGGTTAATGATGTCTCGTCGTACACATAAGAGAGCACTTATTTGTACTTATGATGCACATTTAGTTTCAGGCTATGATGCACTCTTGTCACGTATAGAAGTGGACTCTTATAGTCTTATGTGTCCAACGGTGCACTTTTTCACTTCCGTGTACAAGAAGTGAACTCCTGCCACACTGTTTTTGCCTCAGCACTCTCATCCCTCCATTTATCAATAGCCAAGATTAGTTTTTCACCTAAGATGATAAGATGCATTGGAACTGTGTTTGTGTATGCATGTATACACACATATTAATGAATTACATTTTGTCTATCAACTTGTAGGTTGTCAGAGTTGTTGTCTTGACTGAGGAATTGGATTTACAAGGTGGCATTTGGTGCACTACTGCTCGACATGGGAGTACTTCATATTGCTCAGAGCTTGAAAGCAGAGGCTTGGAGTGATGAGGTGGGAGAACGGGCTCATGATTTTTATCTTGTTACGGGTTAAAGTTGTAACTGGATTGAAATAATCATAAAATGTATTGGGGAACTCAAAAGTCTGCTTTTCCAGAGAGTTAAAACTTCATTGTTGTTTTTCTGGGCTCTTAACAAGCTAAAAGAAGGGCTGCAAGATGAGATTAGATAACTGAAATCATTCAACAAGTACAAGCAGGCATCAAGATCCTATGCATAAATATCCTTCAATCTGGAGGGATAACATAACAAGTTTTGAAGAGAATGATTTCCAGGTATCACTTATTCAGTTTTGCATTGTAGAAATGTCTTTTAATTTTGGGTTAAAAATTTGTCATGAGATGTCTGTTTTCATCATCACCACCACCACCAGCCCACCACCACCTTAATGTATTGTCAATAAATAACTCTATTTACTTAACACTACGTTAACAAAAAAAAGTCACTGTGATGATTAAGCCGGATGTCTTTAATGCTGTAAACCTTCTAAATAAGGAATAATAATGTCCAAACCGCAAACCTGTCATCATAATTCCTACTTTCATAGAAAATATTACAAGACAGCGATAAAAAAGTACTTTTTGTAGTCATGCCTCATTGCAAAGTTAAGCAGGCTAATTTTATGGGACCCGCTTTGGCAACAGAGTTGTATCCTGTAATTTTTGTTTCAATTACTTGACGTTCCAACAATGTGCCACAGATGTGTGCACACTTAAATGCTCCCAGACAATTTTGTAATTAGATTAGAAATTAAAATTTACATATTCATAAAATACATTAAAAACTCTATAAAGTTTCAAAATTTAAATTCAATTATAATAAAGTTGATATATAAAATTAGATATCAAAAGTGAATTGTGTTGACCGGTGAAGAGTGAAGTGTAACTATTATTCTAGTACGAGGTAGTAATAACATTTTGTTATCAAGCTTCTTCAACACAAATTTAGTTTCCGAGCTCATTCTGAAATTGGGATTAGGGTGCTGATGATGTTCTTTCCTCAGCTTATTCATATGCATCTAGGGAATACACTTGGACATGAACCCATTAGCAGTTCACCTTCACCTTCACATCCAAATGCATTCAAAGAACAGACCACTCAATAATGTTGGATGGGTTGGATGGAAATTGGTTCTTTGCAACAAAACTTTAGTGTGGGTCAAGTGGTTCAAAAAGAAGTCCCAGGTTTGGATGAGAAAATCACAATATTTTGATTTTCCATGAAATAAACCTAGAGTAATGTTGTAAAATCAACTTGGGGTGGTTCAATTGGAACATGATTGTGGTCTTGTTCTCGTAACCTTTTTTACTTGTATTTACTTTGATTGAGTAGATTAGACCAAAAAGATTTGAATCATACCAAATGAGATCAGATGTTGTAATTTAGACAAAAGAAATAAGACTGATCATATAACATACAAAAACCAAACCAGATCTGAAAGATTCAGAATAGACCCAGCCAGATCAAGATCATCTAGGCTCAGGGGATTTTGCATTGATTCTTATTTTCCTTGTTTATAATACAAATCAATTTCTGAATGAAAAAGTAGTTCTTTTTTAGTGGAAAAATTTAAAGATAGGTACCAAAAGTGTTGGTGTCACAATGACTAAATACTAAACAATGGGGGAGGGGGAGTTAAATTGATAAAAACTCTCCAGTCAAAATAAAATGGTGTTAGATGAAGAAGAACATATCTATCACATGCATGTGATATTATGAGGAACAACATTATATACTACTTACTCCCTACGGAGTATATCATCATTGTCATCGTTACTTCAGTGCTGCAAAGTCTCCCACTTATGATGGGATAATACGGAGTACTCCCTTCGTTCACCATTTTGCCAATAAAATAAAGTGTAGGGCACAAGCCCCACAGCTATTCGTGAAAATATATTGCGCGAATGGAGTCTTCTTTTGTCCTTGATTTTTTGCATACAATGTAAACTGCAAATGAAGTTGTGAATGGGGTTCTTCACCATGCTGTGTGACCTCACGTGTTGTTCTTCGTTTATAAATGGGATTTATAGAAGAAGTGTGTAGTTTGTCGGTGTGTCCTTCGTCTTCGCCGGAAAAATCCTTTACCTTTAGTTTCTCCTTTGTCTTCTAACTGGAAAACATTATCACTTGATTGTTATGATTAGTCACAGTTCATTCAGTGCCATCCTGCTGGGAGGGTAATCGTGACTGACCTCAAAGCAAGGAACGTGCAATAAGGCTTTTGCTATGCATCCAACGACTCTCTTCTTAGGTGCAACGACTCTCTTCTTAGTATTTATTTGTTTATCCTCCACCCCCGTACGTTCTTTTATAAACTCCGCCAATAATGCGTATTCTGCGCGTTCTGAATGTGAAAGCATTTTATTATTCTCTTCTATTCCTAAGGTATACTTGTGAATGTAATTGGCAAGAGTTGTTTACCTTTGCACGTACACAATCTCAAACAGGGGATTTCTTGTAACAAAAGAGCTTTGGTATATACTACGTATACAATAACAGCAGAAGTGGCATAACTTATTTTTTATTCAATTTGCTCAACGATATCAAAATATTCAGGATCCACCCATCTCTTCTCTACTTTTATCATTTTTAACAATTTATTCTGTTTTTAAAGGTTGATAAATCTAAAAAATCTTTTCTTTAAAGAGTTAATCTTATGATAGTGTTCCATGCATATTTGTGTCTCATTTTTATGATTTTGATTTTTATCGAACGATCCCATGCACTATGATAAAATTAAAATAAGTGAGACTCTAGATAAATTGTGAGACTCTAGATACTGTGCTAGCTATATTGTGTGATTTTGCTGAAGAAGATTATCTAAGTTTTTTCATATAATTTTTTAATTTTTATTTAATTAAGTAATAAAATATATTTTACATGTAATTTGTTCATAATTCATCAGATTTTGCCAATTCAGCTAGACTTTATGAAATTCATTTAATTCAGTCATTTTCCATGTTGTCAAATAGGCTCTATATACTTGTGGCTATAAAGTGCATTTAAGCCTATTTAGAAAAGTTGTACTCGTACAATGACCAAGTGACATTTTTTATAGTTGTTTATATTCATTAAATTACTATCCAGATCCACCAATTAAAATATTGAGAAAAGGGTCAAATAGATTATTTTACTATTTTTAATTCATCTCTTAAGTTTCTATGTTAAAAAAGTATCGGATGAGTTAGGGATGGACCAGTTCCGGTTCGGGCTTGGGCCCGGCCGGGTCTCGGTTCATGAAAGGGGAGGCCCGGAACCGGCTCGGGTAACCCCCAGGTCCGATCCGGGCCTCGGTTATTATATTTTTTTTTTTTTGCTTTTCCTAATTAACCCCCAACCCTCCCCCGTCACCCCCAAACCACCCCAAACCACCTCAAATGGCTCATCATACCCAACCCAACCCAAAAACTAAAAAAAAAATCAAAAATAATAATAATAATAATAATTTGGCCCGGACCGGGCCCGAACCGGGCACCAACCGGTTCACCGGTCAATGAGAGTATTAAGAATTACTTAAAAAGATCAAAAACATCCAACAAATATGTTGAAATCATCACATTGTAAATATGCATTTAATGTAAACCTAAACATTGTTGAACACTTCTTTGAATACAACATTCTGAGTCTTGTTAGTGGTTTCTTCATCTTCATCAACAAATAGAATTTTTAAATTTACACGAATTGCATTTTTTAGATGAATTCTCTCTAAATAGGTAAAATAAGGGAGTAAAATATGTGAAAGTGTGTTATGTCATTCTTGAATTATACTTGAATTTAAATTTGTGGGAAAATGTTCAAATAGGTGCTTCTACTATTTCTAATTTCCAAGTATGGTCTGGTCTGGTTTGTTTAAGTTTGGTTTGGTTTGAGACAGAAATAAGTCTAAGTATAAATATCTCAAGTAATATGGTGACTATGCATTTATATGAATTGCATTTTTTACACGAATTGCCCGGGTAAATTGGCAAATCAGGGAGTGTGCAAACATGTGAAAGTGTGTTATGACATTATTAAACAATACTCAAATATGATAATTCTTCAATCGGGTCTTAACCGGTTATATTCGATCCTAGATCGAACTCGTGCGATGCACGGTTCAGCTTGATTGTACTGGGCGTCTGGGCCAATCGGGCCCTAACCGGCTCTATTAGATCCTAGTAGAGCACCTGTGCGATGCACGGTTTGAAAATTTTCACGATGCAATTAATTTTAATCAAATTTAAAGTTAAAAAACTTCTAATTTTACTTGAATCATTTACAATTATTCTCCGTACAATAATAAAGTTTGACGTAAAAATGAAACATATTCAGTATGACCTTTTAATGATTACTGAGTAGTTCAAACATTTTATAGATCCACAATATTCTCTGTTTCAATTTTTGTTCAATTGTCATTGTATGTAATGTGATTGTTTAACGTTCGACAGATTGATTGCTCCTGACACAACCACGTAAAATTGACAATAACTACAAATAAATGTTTTCAACAACAAACCATGCAACACGGGACACCAACTATTTTTGAGTTTATTTACATTCATGACACAATAAGTCATGTTTAGGTATTCTAGTATCCGGAATTGCAATGGCTAACATTTTAAGGTGTTAAGAAATGCTTCGAAATTAACACCTTCTGTCCCACACTAACTCGTATTAAAATTAAAATCCTTCCTTCTAGTAAATTCACCCTCACAATGCACAAATGTTTTAGCAAATATTTTTTTCATTTTCTAAATGATTGCCCAGGTAAACATGCCATGTGTCATTAATAGTAACCCAATCTCATTAAATACAACTACACCGCCTACCTTTAAATATTTCGAACTGTTGAGAGACCGATGATCCATTCATGAGGTTGAACAACCCGAAACCCGAATCGCTATAAACGAATTCCAAACGGTTATTGCCTACCCATTATTTGTCCCCAACATCCAATCTCCACTCCAGCCCTTCTCGACCCGGTATATCAAAAGACAACATAGATGTAACACACATCAAACACATAGACTTCTATGAATTTGATAATTTTAAGACGACCCTTTTTTATTTAAATAGCACAACTCTAATAAATACAACACTTTATTAAACAAATACCCCTTCCATCAATGTCTCTTGAATTATTTCTTTTTGTCCAACCTACAATTATAAAATTACGATATGTTTTTTTTCAACCAATTTTTGGGGAAATCAATTGTTACAAAATAATACTACCAATTTGAGCAATAATATATAGTTATTGAAACTTTTTTATTACGTAAAAATGATATGAAAATGTTATTGGTTAAAAGTCATTTCATAATAGTATAAACATTCAATCTTTCATAATATTATACTAATCAAAAATATTCAAAATCATTGTCCAAATTTAAAGATTTGGCTATACATTTTAGAATTGAAGTAGTAATGTTTTCATCACTGACACACTTAATCCGTATATTCACATACATTTAATCTCCATTTCACATAAATAAGGAAAAGGACCAATATGCCTATCTACTGATAACTGTAAAAAATATTCAATAACAACATTCATTTGATATGCAAGTCTGGGGATGTCTTTTCTTTGGTTGACCGTTGTTTATTATTTAACTTGTACCTCTTTGAAATGTCAATTCAATTTAGTTTGTTGCATCTTAATTTGTAAGTTAGAAATGTAATAATTTAATAATTAGGTATAGATTAGGATAGAATTGGGACTGGAACAGACGCAGAAATCCGATGTACGTCTCTGAAACCCTTAATTTTGCCCATCCACAATAAAAAAAATACATCTTTTTTTAGCAAATCGGTGTTCGCAACATCATGCTTACAAATAGTACGACAACAAATGTATAAAAGTTGTAGGCTTAAAATCTAATAGTGTGTTCTTTTAGTCACATACTTTTTAGTTGGATAGGAAATGAACCCCATCGTATATAAGTAGGTTAACTACTTAAGTAGGCCGATGCTATACAATGGATATATAAGATTTAGCCCTAACTTCATTTTTTGGAATGAATTAAGATTAAAAATTACATGTCTAAGCAGGAGTAGGAACATTTAGGAACGAACAAATAACAAATTTCAAAAAGCAAAAGACATAGAAGACACTGACTTAAGGTACCTCAACTTGTTGTCTTCTAAACATAAGTTCTTCATGCGTCTAGGTTTTAGATATTGCATACTCATAATAAACTTAGTGTTAAACACTACATACTTAAAACATATTAGTTAAACCCCATGAATAATATCAAGACTTAGGCTCCTCAATGTTTATCCCCTTCATCTTCTTCATAGACATGGTTGAAGAAAAATCTCCAAACGGATCTATCTTCACTTTTTCTGCATCAACTTCCAGCGCAATTCTCTTTTCTTTATTCAACATTTCAACAAAGGGATTGTTGAATCCACCGGTTGGGAATTAAAGAAATAGAGTGTTAATTCACATACCTACTAACTGTGAGGTTTGAAATAAATTAATACTCCCTCTGTCCCCCTAACTTTGTCCCGTTTTACCTTTCTCGTCCGTCCCATTATGTTTGTACCATACCATATTTGGTAATATTTGGGTGGTTACAATTCATTCAATCATTCTTACTTTATTCACACTTTATCAATTAAATATCAACAACACAATTCCACTTTTTCTTAAAAGTTGTGCCACACCCCTTTGTCCCAAACATGTGCAGCGGAAATAGTCAAGAGTATCTCCAAAAAGACTTAACAAATGTATATCATTACAGTTCAAATTTAAATAGTAGAACACAAAAAGTAATTGGTATCCCAAGATTCCAAGAACTTCTCGACACTCCTTCATTTCACCAGAAAGTAATTGATCTCCCAGACTGCTCTGCCAAGTGCCAATAAATATCAAATAATGAAAACCAAATATTATTTATAAACCAAGTAAAAACATTGAGATAATGAAAACTACTATATTGTGATTTCTGAATCTTACCGTCTGTGAAAGAGAAGCATTGTCTTACACTAGAGTAGCATTTCATCTTCTTCATCCTCGTTATCATTCGAACGTCCATCACCGATCTTGAACATACTTGCGGAACCTTACAAGTTAAAAATAATGGAAAATAATGACACTTGTGAATAATGACATGGTAATGAAATTATACTTCCAAGTATTTTAAGTTTTATACGTATAGTCATATAATGTATAATTCTATATAGAATAATATATATAATATATATAATATGTTTACGGGCCGGGCTTTTAGGCCCAACCGGGCCTATATTACAACCCAAGCCCGCCCATATTTTAAACGGGCCGAGCCGGGCCCGGCTCGGTGGGCTAAAACATGTGTCCAAACCCGCCCATTTATATGGGCGGGCCGGCCCGGAATTGTGAAGGTCTAATTTCAACCAATGGAAAATCAGTATTTTAATCAAAATAAAGTATCCAATAAAAATTAAAAGGGAAAAGGGGCAAATAAGGCCACGTACTAACCAAAAAAGGTCAAATAAGGCCTTATTTATGAGGCTCTGTCCGGCTTTCGCCATTTG